AACCCCGGATAAATACCAGGGGGTTAACGGGTATAACCCCCGGGGGCTAATGAATTATTCGGGCGCGAAAGAAAAACCAAGGTACAAAAGAATGCAGCCGGATTTTCATCACTGACCGCAATGCGGTCACCGCATCCGAGTGAATGTTATATACTCGGATGCTGCGATTATATACTATAGAATTGTAGCTCGGGGCTTACGAATAATCCCCAGGGGGGAAGTTATTTTATAAACCCCGGAAACCGACCACCCTGCTTCCTACTCCTTCAGAGTTCAAGACGGTCTCTCCACTGACCCTCCGGGAGAGTTTATCATGGTTAGCTAGTATCTATGACCCCCTTGGTACAGTTGCTGAAACTGTCCTCCGAGGGAAGCTCGTGCTACGGTATGCTCATCGCTGTGGGGTAGCTTTTGATGACTTATTACCGACGCCATTATATCGAGAACTATATAGGGTCTACGAGACTCTCAAATTTGAAATTTGAAATTTCCGAAGTCAGTTCATCGCCTGATCGATGGAAGTGTCTTGCACATCTTCGTGGACAGCTCGTCTTATGCCTCTGGTTGTAATGTTCTGGTTGCCAACCTTGAGAGGGTTTATGCCAAAGCCGTCCTGCATGAGCTCTCGCACTTATCGTGGACTATAGTCAGGAAGGAGCTCTTATCCGTTAGATACGGCCTTAGTATCTTCAAAAGTCAAGTCCTCAAGAACCTCTCCAAAAAGACTATCCCCACTAAGCTCTACCTGTACACCGACGACTCTGCCAATTACCAGCGCACCAAGAAAGCCATCAAGCAAGGGAAACCCAGCGAGGACCTGCCTCCGTGGGAGAAGAATTGTATCTCTTCGATTATCGACTTGGTCAACGAGCTTAAGGTCGAGTTGAGCTTCATCCCTGGTGGGATGAATCCCGCGGACTGCCTGTCCCGTGGGGACAAGGACACTGTCGATTATGGGCTCCTACAATCGACGATCAAAGCACTGGTGCGAGGCACTGTGGATCCAAACACTATCCCTACAGCATTGACAGCGATATCTACATCTACCATTTTCTCACATCTCAAGGATCAATGCTCTCAGACTGAGGTAGCGGATGTGCTGGAAAGGATCCGTCAAGCTCAACGAGACGACGGTCAAGTCTTCTACATCAAGGAAGCTGTGTCCAACGGTAACGCCACCTACAAGGATCGGTATAGTGTGGTAACGGTAGCAAACGGGAGTCTCCTCGTCAATAAGCATCCTACAATTGCAAACCATGTCCAAGTCTATGTTCCGCAAAGCTGCCGGTCGAGTCTAGTAGATCGTATCCATACTGTCTATGGTCACGTGGGCACAAACAACTTGCTTGAAGCAAGCTACCTGCCATACTATCCAGAGATTTTTATTGGCCAGGTCTTTCGGGAGACGCTCGTCG